ACTCGTGATTATCCGTTGGGTTGGGTTTACTCTTCTAAAATCCCATGATTATTTCATCAAAAAATTTTAATAGATGCTCCATTGGATGAAATTTTCGTTTAAGAGAAACCAGGCCAATTGTTTGTTGGTAAATCAGAATGCGGTGGGATTTGTTGTCACTTATTACTGAAACCACATAGGATTTATATAGAGTACAAAGACTGACTTTTATAATAACCCTAATCCTAATACGACTTTGATAAGGAATGTAACTCCGACCAATTACATAACAGTACTCGTAGTATAACACAATACTACTCGTACTACCCAAAGGTTCTTGACATGGTATCATAGCCTAGAACCGAAAGGTCATGTGTTCGAATCTGCACGACTCTCAATATTAATCGTTGTCTTTCATGCACATGGTATGGTGGGCCTGTGCAAACTTCAAGCCCCATGGGTTGGTTTTCGTTTGAGGGGGCGTGTTAGAGAGTGGTATAAGATCCAACATTACCTTCTCTCAACAACTCGAGTTATTGGGATCAACTGGTTTATGACATTGTCATGCTAATGCTAGCAGCTTGCGTAGCGAGTTCAAGCATCTGTTACCAATATGGATGACAATCAAACCCATGCCCACGGATACCCGACCGCCCCCGACCCAGTCAACGCAGGGAATATGGGTATGGGCATCGGGCGGGGAATCCCCGCATTGACCGGGTATGGGTAAAACCCGCAAAAAGTTTGATGGGTATGGGGCGGGTAGGGTTTTAGACTCCCCCGCCCGATGCCCATATCCGCCCCACCAAAAATATTTCTTCATATATGAAAAATATGTGAATCAATTTGCAACCTATCAATAATAGTGAGTATAACTCAAGAAAAATATATAGTAGAAATGCAATTGAGTGGCCACCCAAATCAAAATCTAACTTCTTTCTCTCAATTTTCCCTTCACTCTTTCACTTTTTCCCTTTTCAACAATGTTAGTTAATTATTACTTAATAGATGTATTAGTGTAGAGAATAATGATTTGGATGACATTGTATTCTACTATGATATGGATTAATGGACGTTTTAGGATAAAATGTTTTGAATCGTATTAAAAATTATTGTCTCTTTGTCGGCTTCATGATATAGTAGGTGCGTTTAATGTTATAAATAAAAATCTACATATATATATATTCGGTATTATATAATGTTGGATGTACTGGGCGGGTATTACCCATGGGTACCCGAAAACTGATGGGTATGGGATGGGTTTGTAAAACCTTCTCCCGCATGGATATTGGTATAGATATTTGAAAGCGGGAATGGTGATGGTTTAGGCAAACCTGTCCAAACCCGCCCATTGCCATCCCTAATTACCAAATATAGATGGGTGGTTGGAGCTTCCTGTGGCTGTGTGAAATGGGACATATCATAAATTAAATTCAGTAGCTGCTAGCTACTTCCATCCACATCTGCAGCAGTGGCATATCATATATATCAATCCTCCTAGTCCTAGTCCTAGTCCTAGGTAGGGGGCGCTAGGTTATTAGCTACCTAGCTACCTCCTGCATTGTCTACTATTACATCCCAAGTTCCCAACCAAGAAGCTAGCTAGCTAGCTCTTCCTATTACTTCTCAACCCCCAAAACCTGTTCACACATACTCATTTAACCTTTTATTGAGCTGCTGCCACTATTTTTCATTGTTCTTCATTTCTATGAGAAACATAAAATTTCATCGATAGTGTCATGAACATGTTGGTTATGACGACACTTTTCATGTATGTATTATGTACACAACTTATTTGCTATTTCTTTGGATTGAGATTCATTTCTAACTCATCATTATGCATCCCGAGATGATTCACTCTTCCAGCATAGTGCATCCTTATGCCCTCTCTAATTGAATAAGCTTGCCTTCTAGGCATTCTACTATATTATCCACATTATTACAATGAAGCAGCCACGACCAACAAGATTGTAATTCATCGTTGAATGATCGAGGTGATAGACGGATGACATTGAGTATCATTAGATGTTGAAATTCAGATAGCATCAAAGGAAAATTGATATTTCTGTGACATGGATGGAAATTACAAGAGAAAAGAGAAAAGAAATTACAAAAATAACTCATTTTTAATAGATTGATAGACATATTGCCATACTACCTTTTCCATATTATCAATTAACATTTTGATTGGAATAAATTATGGCAAGCAATGCATATGGATATGAGGCTCAATTTCTTTTTCCTTTTTTGTTTGATAAAAATATGGGGCTCAATTTCCAAATTGCATGGATCCATGCAAATATTGGGAATTTGGCAGAGGCAGGCAGTTCGATAATCAAGAAGGACAGCGAGCGAGCAAGTGTAGGCAGCCGGCGCCCCATCTCCTTAAAACACAAATAATGCACTGCCCAATCTGCAATCCCCGCTAGCTCATAATTCTAGGTGCCACCCAAATATATATTATATTATAACAAGAAAAAATTAATTAAATAAAATACAAGAGCTAGCAAACAAAGCCAGGGGGGTATTGGTTGGGTGTAATTGGAGGTTTGCTTTGGTGTATTTTATATATTGATGCTATTTGATTATTATATGAGATGTATTTCTCAGGAACATTCTCTGATTTAATGTATTTGGTGTGTAAAAAAAGTGAAAGAGAATACATATATAGTACTCACTTTGATTATTGTTTAAAGTTCGATCAAAAAATTTATCAGGTTAATTGTAAAGTTGGTCACTGAGAATACTAAAATCGTTCATTTTTTGTCACTACAAATATTTAATTTTATTTGTAGTCATTAGAATTAATCAAACAATCCAAGTTTGGTCACTCTCCGTTAACACCGTCAGTTTTTTGCTGACGTGGCTAACAGAGATGCTGAGTCACTAAACTTTAATCCAAAAAAGTAAAATTCAGTCTGCCACATCATCTACCATGTCATTAAATCAGCCAAATCATAAGACCCAAACTTCAAATCAAACCCATCAACTAAACCACCCAAACTTACGTAAATAAACCCACCAATTAGTAAAACCCATTCTCTCGTTCTCCTCCACCAGCTCCGCCGTTACATAGAACTCGACCGGTGCCCACCAACATCTCACCCCGACCTCTCCAGACCAACAAACCCACTACCATCTCTCTTCAATAACGCATGTAGGAGGGAGATGCATAAATCACAAAGGATATAAGCTCGATTTCGGAACCCCAGAAGTTGCAGGAGTAGAGGATGTACTCGCTGCTTCAGGAACCAAGAAATCACAAAATTTAAATCCCTAGCAATCAATCATTTTACAGGCCGGATCCAGGAACGACATCTCGACGAGAGGAGGGAGCAAATGGCCCGATGCTGGTTGTGCTCAGCTTGGTCGGATCCAAGAATAATACACTTATCTCAGAAGGTCCATCTTATCGAACAGGAAAAAGGTGGGTTGCCGATTGCGAGCAGGGCAAAGTCTCGGCGAGGGGATTCGAGATTGGAAAGAGCTTGACGGTGGGGACGGCTGACAGATGGCCTCTTCCAGCCATGTTTCCGTCGGTTGGAGACGGAACGACAAGAAGTAGAGAAGGCTTCTGCGAAGCGACAACGACCACGCATCCTCGCCAAAGTCACCGAATCTCAGTCTCTCAACAGCGTCTTCGGATCTCACCGCCTTCCAATCTCTCAGCCGGATTCCACTGAGTCACCGCCGAAGAAGCAGGGGGAGGCAAATCTGTCGTTGACAACCTCCGCAGCGTCGCGACGAGTAGGGCAAAGTCTGTATCCCTCGATTATCGCATAATTCAGGAGTGCAAAGGGAGGCGGAGGCTGAGGTAGCGGATGAGAAAGGATGGGATTGAGAGGTAGCAATGAAAGCCAGAGGAAGATCTAAATTTTGGTGAAAAGGTCTGCGATGCTTGCGATCTGATTTGGGAGGTAGTGAATTTTTTTTCTTCAGTTGGGTCAACTAGAGGAAGAAGATGAGGGGTCGGGTCATGGGTTGGGTATCTTATTTGGCGGGTTAGTTTTTATTTATTTTTAGTTAAAATTAGCTTATTAGGTACTTCTGTTAGCCAAGTCAGCAAAATATTGACGGCGTTAACGGAAGTTGACGGAAGGTAACGGTGAGTGACCAAACTTGGCTGTTTGATTAATTCTAATGACTACGAATAGAATTAAATATTTGTAGTGACCAGATATGAACGTTTTTAGTAATCTCAGTGACCAACGGATAATTAAAAAATTGTCCACTCAAATTCAATCCAGAGATTCGAAAAATTCTTCACTGACAGGGAAAAAAATGAAAGATTTGACTGCTAAAATAAACACAACCAGAAATCAAATAAAGAAAATAAAAAAAAATTGCAAATCTCGAAAAAACAGTTATAACGTAATTAACCCAAAATTTATCTGTAATTTATAGTTTGATGGTATATTTCAGTTGGAACCAGAGTTCCTAAATTATGGGAGTTGCTAAATGACGTCTTTAAAATTACTTTTGATCGCCCTAAATCAAATAAATTTACCAATTTGTCCAATTACCAATTTCAAATTATATTGACAACAAAACAATTATCGTAATTCGGAAGAGACAGAGTTTAATGACTAATATTTTTATAGTTTGACATGAAATCTAACTTTTGGCCAATAAAATCAGAGAATCATATAGCTATAAATACTGCATTTATGGTTTCGTTTGATCAATACGAATGGAATTTCGTTGCTTTTGGTTGGCAAAATACCTCTTTACAATTTCAAAGAAGTATGAATAAAATATATTCGATCCCTTATAATTAAACAAAAAAAAAAAAACTATTCTTATGGGTCTCCCTTGTATCCTCAGTACTTTTTATCCAATTATACCAAAGCTGTGAATGAGAAACAAATTTTAACCTTGCAGTTGTTTGTAGCAAATATTTGATTATCTTCACATTGTTGATATTTGCAAGCGAATTCCTTTTGGGCTAATATTGTTTTCAGAATATAAAATACACTAGAATATTCCGAAATAGAAAGCGAAAATTGGGTTTTAATTGAACATGGTCTAATCTAAAAGCACCAACCAAAACAACTTGCATGCAGGAGCTGGAGTAATAGGCATATTATATTAGCTACAAACCATGGATTACAGTTGGTTGGTTCATTCCTTGCATAATGCTAATGCATACTAGTCTACTTGTGCACCAATATCCCTCTCTTTTCTTTTCTTTTCTTTTGGTAAGGTTGCTTCCAATTACTGAAACTAAAACTTATTCGGACTTGTTCATTTAACCAACGGATGGATGAGAGAGAGCGAGCAATACTTAGTTTAGTTAGAACTAAGAAAGAGGAGCCCTGTGAGGAGCGCCCTTCCTCCTGCTCCCGAAGGAGAGAGCAGTGATCCCAGCTTGCAGGAAACCCCCAGCCCCACTCTCAGATGGGCCGTGCTTCTTCTTCCTCGTCATCTGATTGGTGGCGGTGGAGGATGGGTCGGCCTCGGTCATCATCATGCGGTGGTGGTAGGGCGGCATGGAGTTGAATAATTGGGCTTGGCCGCCAGCTTCATCGTCGTCAGTGATCTCAGAGCTGTCCATCCTCAAATCCTCGAACTGCGAGAACGCCATGTCCTCCGACCCACCTGCTGCTGCTGCACCATCATCCTCCTCCTCCTCGTCGTCCACTACTGCCTGATTCATTGTTCCTCGGCCGCCGCCCATCACCAGGATGCTGCCCAGCTCCTCCCCTCCCTCCACCATGTGATTCACCTGCTTGTTTTTTTTTTTTTTTGGGTATTTATTAAAAAATATAATTCATCTGATGGTGAATAAAAAAAACAAACATTATTTATAGGAGACTCAGGAGAGCATGTTATGTTGTACCTTGCAGGAGAGGGAGCAGAAATGGAAGGGGTGCTGAAGGATTCTGTCGCAACTGAAGCAGACGTTGTGGGCAGTGACGGCCTTCCCCCCACTCCTCGTCTGTGGCCTCTCCTTCACAAATATCACCTTCGCACTGTTTATCGTATACGACTGCCACCACCACCACCACCACCACCACCCACAGATTAAAATAAATATTACCCAGCAGTCAAAAGCACAATTCTACGTTAAAATGCTTTTGGTAACAAATTTTCATTTTAAACCGTGTTTTGACCACATTATTAATTATGAGTGATCATCTCACCTGGATGTATGAGCAGTCAATGAGCTTCTCGAGATCCCCCAGACGAACAACATCATGGTACACGTATCTCCTAACCTGGGAAAATCATTCATTCCAATTTTCAAAACAGCATTATTATCATCATCATCATTCATAGGGCTATGAATCGTGAATTCTGCCTTGGATAATAAATAATCCAACAGTACAGTACCACCAGTGAGTGTACTGCGTAAAATTGAATGGGTAGTTAGAAAACGAAAATGTTGACCGAGGCTAGTACTAGGGCTGGGGTAAGAAGAGTTAGGCAACCAACAAGTGCTGAGGATGGAAAGGAAATAAATGAAGCGACGCAGAGAATAAAGTGTGCAACTCATGGATTTTGGGAAATATATAATCAATGAGACCTGGCTTAAAGGCCCCCAATGCAAAATCTTTTTTTTAAAAAAAATATAACAAGCTAGGAAAATAAATGGTGGTCGGTCAAAGTTTCGCTTTCAATGAAAGCAACAGGAGAGGAGAGGGGAAGGGTGTTTGCAGGGGGAATAGGATAGGATAGAGAAGAGAAATGGAAATCTGCCTTGTTCCGCTTAACGGGACAGGACAGGACACACCTCCTCCTTTTCTCTTCTTCTTCTTCTTCTTCTTCCCCGATTCCAAAAAGTGATGAGAGAATCAATGCAAGAGCGACATCTCTCCCCCAATCCAACCCTTTTTTAGAATTTCACGACATAATTAATCTGTATATTTATTTATTTACAATTAATAATAATAATAATGATCATTTCTCAGCAAGAACAAAAATAAATTGGCAAATTTCCATGTTTTGTTGTTGTTGCATTTATGACTCCACAGTAGAGAGAGAACAGCAACGACAAGAACAACAATTAGCTAGCTAGCTGACTCCTATCAAGAAAACTTGTACAATTTCTGGTTATCGAGATAACACCAATATATATAAAAAAAAATAAATCAAAACCAATAACCCAAAAACATTCAGAACATAAAGGAATTATTACCGGAGAAAAAAAGAAGAAGATGAAGGAACTTGAAAAGATTATCTTCTTCAATATTTTTCTTGAAATCAAAAGAACCCATTAAAGATCCTTGCTTTTGCTTGGCTGCCTCTCCACTTTAAAATCACGGGGGAGTTAATCTCTAATTGGGGGAGATGGGTATGTAGTGTAGGTAAGGTAACTCAATTATGAAGAATTCATTACTGAATTTCGGAAAGAAAGCACAAATTTTAATTATTATTATTATTATTGTAATTACTAGTACTATAATATAAAGCCTTGGGAAGGACTAAGGAGTGACGGACGACGAGGGTGCTCTCCACTCTTCTTCTTGGCTGCTGCGTGAACCCAATTCAATTCAATTCAATTCAATTCAATTGTGCTCACAATCCAAGAAGAGAGAAAACAAAATTAACACCCAAATTGAAGGAAAGAAGGCAGCTACAGCTAGCAAATTGCAACTCTCGAAAAGACAAGTGAACAAAAAAGTCGACAGTAGAAAAAAAGGCAGCCCAAAAGCCAGCCGGTTCAACAATAAATTAACAAGACAGAAAGGGGAGATCTTTTTCAACAAGATCCTCATTTCTCCGTTCGATCGTGACAATTCCACAATGAACAGTAGCTAGCTCCATGGCGTCGCTACCCAATTTCAATTTCTATATAAAAACATGCTAGACAATTATTATTATTAAATTAACGCGAACAATTTTAAGACTAGCGGAGAAGAATTCCCATGGAAGGAGCGGAAATTGACCAGTAAGTAACGATGAATGAGAGTAATTTGTAGAGAGGAAAAGAGGGAGAGAGAGAGATATAGATGGTACCTGGAGGAAAGGGTGGTGGCGGTGCTGTGCAGGGAGGCAGTGAGGGCAGATGCTGTGGCAGCAGAGCAAGCAGTAAACGTTCTTCTCCTTCTTCCTCCGCTCCTCGTGGACCACACAGCTCCCGAAAAAGCTCTCCCCCATCAGCCCCGACAGCCATGCAGGCACCTCCACCTCCACCTCCTTCTTCCTCCTCCTCCCCATCCTCCTCTTCCCCGCCGCCGCCTCTCCGTCCCCTCCCGACACCATCTCCGCCGCTGTCGACGACGACCAACAGTAGTAATTGTTATTGTTATAGTAACTAGTATGGTGATTCAGCCTGTCCTCCCTACCCATGGGTCAAATTCACCAACCAAAATCACAATTTCTGTTATGGGTACGTTTATCCTTTCGATTTTTCTTTCTTTCTTTCTTTCTTTCTTTCTACGGCCAAAAGCAAAACCAGAATTGAGGTTTGAGAGAGGAGAAGAAGGAGAGAGAGAGGAAATGGTAGCCAGCCAGCAAGCTGCAAGACTGCGTACTACTGGGTCTGAGAGAAAAGAGAGAAAACCCTACTGCTCTGCTCTCTAATAAGCAATTTTTTTTTTGCTTCGCAGCCATCAAGATTTTTCGGCTTTTATATAGACGACATGCTGCCGCGTCTATTTTTATTCTTATTTTATTTTTGAAAAAAATAATAAAAATGTGAATTCAGGTTGTTTCCCGAATTATTGTCGTGGACGAACAGTCAAAGACAAAGGGAGGAGAAGAAGAAGAAAGGCAATATCATTGTAATAAAAGAAAAACATAAATTGTAAAAGGATGGCTAACGCTGTGTGAGTATGTGTACCTTTAATTTACACGGGATGAATTACTTTTTTTTTAATTTTGATAATTCTTACTTCTTACTTCTTACTTCTTACCTTACCCCCGTGAATTGTGATGACGAGGATGATGATGATGATAAGGATTAAGAATCCTTGTATTTTTCTACTGCATGCCCATTGGTATTCAGAAGGCTCTCTCCTTTTGAGATTTGTTATACTTGTGTACATCAGCCTCTAAGACACAACATATATATAAAGTGATGGAAACGGAGGGTGTTGAATTCATGTTGAAGGGGGTATTAAATTCATGGGCAGTCAATTTGGGGATTCACTAATGATTTAGTTGACAAAAAATTGAAGAGGTGTTTGAGGATATGGCAATTGAATTAAGCAATGGGTGAAAACACAATCCATTTCATAATCAACGTGTTTGAGGAAACTTTGACTTTTTACCGGTACGTTACCTTATAAATGAATGTGATATTTTACCTTATATGTGGTACGTTTTTTATTAGCTTTTCATTTTACAATTAATAAATTGAAAATTATACTTAATTTTTGAGCGTTCATTTACATCCTCTGTTTTCATAACCGGATTGGAAATTGAACCGAAAAACTTGGTGATTCTTGGTTCAATAGTTAACTATTGTAGAACCTTTGGTTAGCCGTTTGTAAAATCGTTATGAGTTTATGCAGAGTACCACCAAAGTAGATGGCACAATTGGAACAATTACCGGGAAAGAAAAGACAAGAAAAGGAGGAGAGCTGGTTTAAGACTCGACAAACACACTCGAGTTTAAAAGCAGAACCTTCAATAAATATAAGAAGATTATTGACAAAACAAAGGTAGGGGCAACCACGAAAGGCTTTGCATTGTGGATGGTAAAGCAGCTGGTTGTCCGTACAGTTTTATCAAGTAAAGAAGACAAAACCTAAAGGGAAATGCTAAACAAGTAGGCTCAGAGCGGGTCACCTTGACGCATACCTTTATGTGTAAAGAAATAACCTTGTAAACCACCATTGATAGTTATACCGAAGTAGGTTGAAGTTACACATTATCGAACCCAGTTGATAAACTTAATTGAAAATCTCATAAGATCAAGAAGGCAAAACAGATAATCCTAGTTGATTGAATCAAAAGTCTTTTTAATGTATGTTGAGATGGCACAGATCAAGTTAGCAGATTGCCAAGATAATTGAAGCACAAATTAAGGGGGGAGCAGATCGATCAATAAGGGATTTCAATTACCATTTGCTCAACCTTCCATTTCTGCTCAAGATTCAAACTTAACGGCTCTCTTGGAAGGCTATTTAAAGAAGCAGCAGGGGAAGGGTCGTGCACTGAAACACGAGCTGGGATTCTTTGTGGTAGAGGGCAAAGGGTTGGGTCTTTAGTTCAGTGGCTTTGATCTGTGTTGGGGTAGAGGTTCAACTAGATCAAAGGGTGTAACGAATTCCTGTGCGAATTTGGGTCTGTCAAATTTGCCTTTTGATTTTCTCACTTGTGTCTGTAATCCTTTTCTCTTCTTTGCTTGAGTCTAAAAGAAAATCAAAAGTGTCTCTCGGGATAGTGGTACTATCCCGGGACGAGGAGTAACCCTGTGGTGAACCTCGTTAAAAATTTCGCTGTGTTCTTTACCTTATGTTTTCCTTTCTTCTTGTTGCTGCAAGCTGCCTCTGTTCTGTTTCATTCTGGTTCTGTTTCTGATTCAGCGAAGAAGAAGATGTGTTTCCTTCTTCCTTCTCTGAACTGAAAGCGGGCCTGTTGGGACTAAGCCCAGATTTGATTCTTTCGGATCTGTGGGCTTATTTAATCTCGGCCCAACTGAATCCATCTCTTACTACATAGCAAAGATCATTTCTGTCTGAGTCGTTTTGGTTGTTCTTATGCTGACTTTTATGGTCAAAATCCCTAACTGAGTTGAGAGCATTTCCTGTTTACAAGTGGTATCAGAGCAGGTCCTTGATCGAGCTCATTAATGCCAAGAGAAGATCCAGATCGATGGCCTCCACCAACTTTGGTCATGCATCTGACAACCATCCACCGATTTTCACGGGGTCAAATTACACAGCCTGGAAGAAAAGGATGAAGCCTTTCTCTGGGGAGTCGATGAAGATTTGTGGACTATCGTGCGTGATGGGCCTGTCGCCATGGATGCAGATCAACAAAATTTTTGGTCAGCAGCTCAAAAGAAGAGCGCCCAACTAAATCAAAGGGCTATGCACATCCTGCAGTCAGCTATGGCATATGAAGAAGCCGATAAAGTGAAACATTGCGAGACTGCGCAAGCAATCTGGAGTTCACTGCAGAGCACTTACGAATGATCGTCGAACGTCAAAGAAACCAGAATTGATCTTCTGGTCCACGAATATGAGTGCTTCGACATGCCTCTAGGTGAGGGAATTGATCTTCTGGTCCACGAATATGAGTGCTTCGACATGGCTCTAGGTGAGGGAATTCATGAAATGTACTCTCGATTTACAGTTCTTATTAACAAACTAAAAGGATTAGGGAAAACTTTTCTCGCTAAAGATTTAAATAGGAAAATCCTAAGATCTCTTCCTAAGGAACGGCTTCCCAAGAGGACTGCTATAGAGGAAGCTCGAAACTTAAACACTCTTCCTATAGTTGAGCTTGTTGGATCTCTCCTAAGTCACGAACATGTTCTTAAACAAGTTAACAACAATGATGAGAAACGAAAAAAGTCTTTAGCTTTCAAGTTTCAGGCAATAGAATATGAATCTGATTTAGGAGAGGAATTTGATAGAGAATTTGCTCTAGTGAGTAATAAATTTCATAGGATGCTGAAATATAAACAAGAGCAAAATCAAAAGGCTAATAATAGAAATTCCTATAATCGCTCTAACCCTTTTGACAAAGTCAAAAGTTCCCTCAAAACAGGCTGTGTACTCCGCAGACTAGGACTTTTGAACCAGGTAATCAAGAAAAGGAAGCTCAGGATTGCTATAAATGTGGAAAGCCAGGACACATTCGAGCAAACTGTCCGCTTACTTTAAGAGCAAAAGAAAAATCAAAGAAAGCCACCCGGAGTGACTATGAATCAGAAGAAGAAGAGGATTTAGGAGATGAAGAAGCTCTCATGGCTTCAGCAGAACTAAATGACTCTGAATTCTCCTTCAAGACAAGTTAGAATTCATATACTCTTACAGCCGACTCAAAATGGTATTTGGACAGTGGTTGCTCTCATCACATGTTTGGTAAGAAACATCTGTTTAACTCCTTGACTATGAAACGTGGTGGAAAAGTTACATTTGGTGATGATAGTCAGGGATTAATTATTGGCTCTGGATGCATAGGAAAAAACCCTTTACCTGTAATAAAAAAATGTCCTGCTTGTTGATGGATTAAAACACAATCTTCTGTCTATAAGTCAACTATGCAGTAATGGGAATCAGGTCATTTTTAAAATGACAGATGTTCTGTAGAAGAAATAAATGAAAATAAGATTCTATTTGTTGGCAAAAGAGTCAATAACATGTATATTGTTGATCTGACTGATTTGAGCTTGTTCAATGCTAAATGCCTACAAGCATCTTCTCGGTCTTCTGAGTTTCTTGGGCACAAAAGACTAGGACATGTTAGCTTGTCTAAGTTGTCTATTCTATCTAAACTTAATCTAGCTAGAGGGTTACCAAAGCTAAAAGACAAAGCGGAATTCTTCTGTGATGCCTGTGCTGCTGGAAAACACAAGAGAAAAAGTTTCACACCCAAACCTGACATTACTACCTCTAGGACTTTCGAACTTATACACATGGACTTATTTGGACCCTGTAATGTCACCAGCTTAGGGAGGAAAAACTATGTTTTTGTCCTAGTGGATGATTATTCTAGGTATACTTGGGTGTTTTTCTTGGCACACAAGGATGAAACCTTTGAAAAGTTTCGTTCGTTTGTCACCATGCACAAGCAATCTTTAGAAAACATTCGTAGTGACAATGGAGGTGAATTCATTTCAGATGAGTTTGCTGATTTCTGTGACAAGTCAGGAATATACCATACTTTCTCTACTCCTCGCTCTCCTCAACAAAACGGAGTTGCCGGACGTAAAAATAGGACTTTGATAGAATGTGCTCGTACCATGCTTCTAGACTATAATCTACCTAAGTTCTTTTGGGTTGAATATGTAAACACAGCTTGTTACATAATTAATCGTGTCTTGGTTAGGAAACAGTTAAACAAAACTCCCTATGAATTACTAAAGAGTAAAACTCCTAGGATTTCGTACATTCATCCTTTTGGATGTCTCTGCTACACGCTGAATACACGTGATTCTCTAGGGAAGTTTGATGCCAAGTCTGATCCTTCTACCTTTCTTGGTTATTCTACAAAGGGTCAAGCTTATAGAGTTTTTAATAAGAGAACTAGAAAAGTGGAAGAATCTGTTCATGTCGTGTCTAACGAAACAATATCTGTTGCACCAGATCCTTCCATGGAATTTGATTTATGTGAACTCACTTTGTCCTGTCAAGAGTCTTATAGTGAGCAGGATACTTCAACCAAGATTCAGACTACTGAACCTCAAGATCAATCTGCTGAAGAATCTGAGCCAGCAACTGAGGTACCAAAGGCTCCACCTCACATTCAGAAAAGACATCCTGAAAGTCAGGTCATCGGCAAAATGAGTGATGGACTTCAGACTAGAGGTAAGTATATCTCTGGTCAATAAAATTTTGTCTCTCAATTTGAACCAAAAAACTGGAAAGAAGCTTTACAAGATGAAGAGTGTGGTTTGTCTATGGTAGAAGAATTAAATCAATTTGAACATCTGCATGTTTGGGATTTA